GCAATAAATAAATAATTTTTTGGACACTAATTGTAGAAAATAACATCAAGAATTTATTAAATTAAAAAAAAAAGTGTTTCCAGACTTTATTCCCATGTTTTATTTCATTAAGCACAGAAACCAGTCAGATGGCGAGAATAACACAAACTCTCTGTTCAGGGGTGAAGCTGGGTCTGCGCTCGGTCCCGGTGGCCACAGCTTGTGTGCTGTACCACCACTTCTTCCAGCGGGCCAGCGTCCGGGTTTACGAGCCCTACCTGGTGGCCATGAGCTGCTTGTACCTGGCTGGCAAGGTGGAGGAGCAGCACATCAGGACCCGTGACATCATCAACGTGAGCCACAGGTAAGAAACGCACGGCGAAAGATAAACTACAAACATTATTTTTTTGTTTGTTTGTTTTAAGGAACATCCATCCATCCATCCATTTTCTGTACACGCTTCTTCCTTTTCAGGGTTGCGTGGGTCACTGGTGCCCATATCCAGCAGTCACAGTGCGAGGGGCGGGGTACACCCTGGACAGGTCGCAAATAGGAACTGTTTTAAGGAACAGTAGAAGATAAATGACAGATTACACACGATTCAGGCTTTTTGCATTGATGGTTCAGTACAGAAAATATTTGATTTTATTCAGAAACAAGCTGATTTATACATTTTCAGAAGTGGCTGCTTTATTAACATGTTGTGTAACGAGTTTGACATTTCAGCAGCTCAGAATAAAAGAACCAATGTTGAATAATTCGTACTTAAAAAAGAAAAAAACAGCTCCRACGTTAATTGACTCGGTCCACACGAACCCGTCCATCTTCCCACTCCTCCGGTTTCGTCCCTCGCAGGTACTTCAACAAAGGCAGCGCTCCACTCGAATGTGACAAGGAGTTCTGGGACCTGCGGGACAGYGTGGTGCAGTGTGAGCTCCTCGTCCTCCGACAGCTCAACTTCCACGTCTCCTTCGAGCACCCTCACAAGGTACGAGTGTGTGTAAACATCTGTCTTCTTCAGCCTCTTCCTCTGCTGGATTCATGTTTTATATCGTGAAAATGAAAACCGTACACAAACCTTTTCATGTTTCTACATAATAAACAGATGAAATAAACTAGGAACTGATATTTTTTTTAATTTAATTTAAAAACAGTTTTTCACGTACATAAAGTACTAAACTACTCTGTTAAAACAGTCTGGTTTCACTTTTATTATTTATTTTTTAATCAGTTGTATTTTTTTAAACTACAGAACAKGTAACATTTCGAGCTTTAAAGTGCCTGTGGCATGCATGTTAATGAAATACAAAAAGTCAAAGCAAACATCTTTATATTTAAGAAAACTTTTTTTGTATTTGATTAATATGTCCTTATTTATTTACTTGCCCCTTTAACCAGCTGATTCATTTTTTTACTTTTATTTATTTATTATTTATTTATTTATTTATTTATTTGTTTATTTATTTATGTTATTTTTAGTCAATAAATTATGTGTACGTTACCCTATATTTATCAATTACCAATCCTCAAATACTTGTAATTTGACTAAAATTAAAACCAATCACATTTTGATTTACTTTACAGCTCAGTTTATTTATTTTCCTTCTCCTTTCTCTCTCTGTATCTTTTTGTTTGTTTTGTTTCTTTGCTTTGTTATTAAATGTTCCTTGTTTGTCCATAATGTTTGTCTTTATTGTGTTGTAAATTAAAAAAAAGAAACTTGGCATAAAASACATGATTTCACCCGTTATGTCCCAGAATTGACATATTTACTTTTGAACTTTGCTCAGACACAGTGAAACAGGAAGTGACATCAAAGGGGAACTCTTTGAGAAATAAAAGTCTCTGGTTTTTGTTTATTTAAACAATATTGTTTGAACTCTGACTCTTCCTCATCTATTAAAGTAATTAAAATAAAGAAACATCAGATTCTTCTCTACAGTCTGGGTTGTTAGCTGTTGTAGCAAAGCTCTGTTTACATGCAGACATTCCCCCTTTGACATCACTTCCTGTTACTTTACAAGCGATTATCTCAACAACTGTTCATCTCAGCTGCATGAAATCTTTTTTACAATATGTTATCAATGTTATCTTTCCAAAAATGCATTAAAATTACAAAATGTGTTACCACATGTACTTTAATCCTCAGTATTTGCTCCACTACCTGCTATCTGTGAAGTGTCTGGTAAACCGCCACGCCTGGGCTCGTACCCCCGTGGCCGAGACCTCCTGGGCTCTGCTGAGAGACTGTTACCACGGAGACATGTGTGTTCGGCACACGCCGCAGCACGTCGCCATAGCAACGCTGTACCTGGCCCTGAACAGCTATGGCGTGGAGCTTCCTGTCGGCGAGAAGGCGTGGTGGCAGGTGTGTGTTTTTGTGGGCAAGTGGTTCTGATTTATAGTTAAACGTTTCTTTGATAAAATTCAAATTTCCACTCGGCTTGAACGTTTGGCTCCGCCCACCAACTGGGCACCCACACATGTCTGACGGCTGGGGGTCGTTAAACAGTCAGAGGAGAAATTAAGTGAAGTGTAAGTTGACGTATCGAGGCAGCTGAGCCGTCAGACGGAGACTAAAAAGGCTGTCAGGAACCCGACAGTCTCTTCTGCAGCTGAGACAAGCTGAAGGTCTGAATCTGAAAATATCTGAAATCTGAACAGAAGCAGGTTATAGACTCGATTATACCATATCATAAACTACCATACCATTAACWACCATACCATACCATAAACTACCATACCATGAACTACCATACCATACCATACCATACCATAAACTACCATACTATAAACTACCACACCATACCATAAACTACCACACCATAAACTACCACACCATACCATAAACTACCACACCATAAACTACCACACCATACCATAAACTACCACATCATACCATAAACTACCATACCTTACCATAAACTACCATACCATAAAATACCACACCATACCACAAATTCCATACCATGAACTACCATACCATACCATRAACTACCATACCATACCATGAACTACCATACCATACCATAAACTACCATACCATACCATAAACTACCATACCATAAACTACCACACCATACCAAAAACTACCAAACCACTTTTATTTATAAAGCACTTTAAACAGCACAAGGCCAACAAAGTGCTGTTTATAAACTCTGCTTATTGAGTTTAGAGTTTATTGTATCAGTTTTGACTTGAGACTTGAACCTGGACTTGATACTTGACTCTGGACTTGAACCTGGACTTGATACTTGACTCTGGACTTGACTCTGGACTTGAACCTGGACTTGATACTTGACTCTGGACTTGAACCTGGACTTGATACTTGACTCTGGACTTGAACCTGGACTTGATACTTGACTCTGGACTTGAA